CCTGATCAAGAACTGTTGTTGAGCCTCTGAAAATGCACAGTATTAATCAACCTGTCATATTCCAAGTTTAGACCTCCTGGTCATATTATATATAAAAAAAAAAAAAAAAAAAAAAAAAAAGTAATATCCTGTTTGCTAAATATCAATGACTTTAAGCAATTAAAGCTTGCACAGAGCTGTTTCCATAGCAACACATCCCTAAACTGGTCTGCAGCAGAAGCTCTCAGTGTGCACTCAATATATTCCCTTCTTTCAATTTACTAAAGCAAGCAGCCGCGTTTACAGCAGACTTCTTGTTTGTGCATCGCCCCAAACACCAGAAAGAAGATAAAAAAAAAAAATAAACGTTCTTATCTTTGGCTAAATAAAAACAAATCACGAATGCTGAGAAATTCTCACAGTTGAAGCATTTTGTGGTTTTGGACGGCAGCTTTTTCCCTTTCCTACATATTCCTACCAGGATTACATCCTATAAACCATATTCAAATCAAAGGCAGACATTTTTTTTACATTTTACATGCATTTTCTGCATGTTTTGATTTTATATTTAGCTGAACGTAATTAAAAACGCCAATAGTCAAAGTTTAACGATATTTTATTTAAATGTCACATTTTATCTATAGTTCCTCTGTCTCTTCAGTCCCTTTCCTCATCCCTTGCATAATGTTTAGTCACAAGTCTAGAGTAATGTTTTGAGGCTTGAACTATAGCTTTATTTTTAAACTACATAGCGGTAAGGGGCAGATAAGTTAAAGAAATTTGAAATAAGCAAAAAGGTTTTCTGCTGTATGGTCTTTATTTGACAGATTACGATTTGTGACGACTACAAACATTTTTGCGTTGAACTCTGCTTCATTTTCCCCTGAAATTGGTTTTTGCAGAGTTCAACATCAGCTTCACCACAAATGTGGACATTAGTGTTTTGTATTCAGTGACGCAAGGAGAAAAACTGCAGGAGGACAAGAACGCATGCCTTGTTCTAGTAAGAGAAGTATGCAAAAACCACAGAGTTGAGTAAGAGCTGAAAAAAAAACCTGCAAGAATTCGAGATGTTTAAACACGAATGTCGAACTGCTTGAGCGCCAGATAAAATCTGACAATTGGCAAGAGAAGCTATTAGATAGTCCGCCTACATAAAAGTCTTGGAGCTTTTAACATCTGAGTGACCACGGTCAGTTTAAAATGTCCTTGAGTGAGACGGCCCCTCCGATTTGATAAAAAAAAAAAAAAAAATTTTATGACTGTGGGATCACTGTAACAAGACCGAAAAATCACAATTCCATCCTTATTGAAACAGTCATTGGATTATAGATTTTCTTTGAATCAGGTGCTGCGTTGCTCATGGGATCATGTCGACACTACCATATTTTCCACTGTACACATCACACCAAGTCTCATCAGTCCAGATATGTCCAATAAAGTGGAAAAATCCATAAATAAATTGCTTCGTCGTATAAGTCGCATCTATTATGCGTCACCGCTGACAACCTGGAAATGTGGGCCAGTGTTGTGCCAAAAACCTATCCATCCATCCATCCATCCATTATCTTTACCCGCTTCTTCCATTTTGGGACACGGGGGTCGCCGGTGCCCATGTTCAGCAATCACATTGCGAGGAGCGGGGTACTCCCATGGCAGGTCTCCAGTCCATCACAGGGACACAGAGACAAACGAGACAAACAACCCTTCACTCTCATCCACACCTAGGGACAATTTAGAGTTACCAATCAGTCTAGCATGTTTTTGGTCTGTGGGAGGAAACAGGACTACCCGGAGAAAACACACGCATGCAAGGAGAGAACATGCAAACTCCACCCAGAAAGGCCCCCGGATCGAGATTTGAACCAGGGACCTGCTCGCTGAGAGGCAGCACCAAATAGCCACCTAAAACAATTATTTGTTAGCTCGACTTTATAGCAAAGGTGTGTCTCAGTTGAACTTTTACTTAATAAATGCACTTCAATGGTCAAATCAGCTGCAATTCTTTGGGTGCGGCGCAGCGAAATGAAGCTGATTTGATGGTTTCTCCAGGAAGACGACGGTGGCAGGCTATGGCAAGCCAATTGTCATTAATAGCCACTCTTGCCATTGCATGATACAACAGAATGCCTTACTACTCAAGCGCCATCTAGTGGCTGAAAATGTTAGCGTTCAATAGTCAGTCAGAATGAATGAAAACGGTCATATCTCAGCCAAAAATTGGTTTATAAATATGGGGAAAAAATCCATAAATACGTCATTTCAGCATAAGTCAGAGTATGCAAATTATGAAGAAAAAAAACGTGAATATACAGCAAAAAATACGGTACCTCCAAGTGAAAAATCTAAAAGGTTTTTGTGAAACTTTTTCCTTTTATCAAAACGGTCTACTTATGCTTCTCAAGTTAATGCTGTCATACAGAAGTTTTTAATTCACATTTTAATGGACGTCAGACATGCAAAAACAGCAACTCTTGGGGATTGTCAAGCTGTGCAGCAAAACTGCTGGCACAGTCCTACAGACCCTCACTGACCTACACAAGGTGAGGTCAGTGAACAAGACCAGGCTGATTCTGGCAGATCCTGATCATCCACCTTCTGGACACAGGTATCTGCTCCTCAGATGTAGAACAAACAGACTGAAAAACCCATTCATCCCTGTAGAGGCTTCTCAACAAAAAATGATTTCTGTACTGTCATTTTAATGTTTCAATGTCTTGTTTAGTATTGATGTGTTATGTGCCTACTGGCTGAAACAAACTGCCACTTGAAGATAATAAAAATTCTTGAACAACTTGTAGATCATACTGCATACAGTAGATGTTTTACAGGTATAACTTTCCTGTTTTTGCACACATTGGCACACTGCCTTTAAAATGTAGAAGAAAAAGGTGGCATATGTGACTCTACTCAGCTCTGTGAGATTTACTAAAAATGACACTGCTGAGACGTTTTGGCCGTGTTTTTTTTTTAAATTTTTTACTCGAGTAAAATATTGTAAGTGAAAAAGGGGTTCTTGGCTTCGTTTGCTCTCAGCCCTCCCTCACCCCTTTAACTTCTGGCCTACAATCAGTGGATGACCTCAGCCTGCAACGGATCTCATCAAGGGGATTGTCTTGGAAATAACTACGTTTTTCAGCAAAATCCTTCACCACATGTGCAGCCTAACTTCAACAAGTGGGGCATTTACTTGAAATCATTTCAGGCAGGGTGTAAACACAAATTAATAACTCTGGTTCTTTGTGACCTTCTTGTGGTTAAATATCTGAGATAGAGACAGGCTTTTGCATGTTAATGTGAGGATGACAATCATGTGCAGACCCACACGACTGCATTTTTGAGCCCACGATCGAGAGAAGGTGGCACAAGTTTGTCCAATGTGAATATCAAATTATAGATCAGTTGGTGAGTTGTGCTTTTATAAAGACCAGTGGAACTGGTGTTTTCCAAAAGCAACCAAAGGGGGTTGGTTTATAAATTTAACTCATTAGCAAACATTAACCTGGATGGACAGTTGCCACAAAACCTTCTAAAAAATAAGTTTGAATGCAACTTAAATATTTACTGAATTCACAACTAAAACGTGCAAGATGAACTTTAAAACGTTCTTCCTACTACCATCTGCATCGTTACTTTTCGCTTTACTCCAATCAAATAGGGGGGAAATAAGACTAATTTATGAATAAAACTGTCACAAAGAATGCTACCATTAAAACCCATTTATCTTCTGTAACCTTGGGTTTAAGCAGCATTTTGGATTTTGGTACCGTCACCAAATCCCAAACAGCCCTTCCTGCTTCTGACCATGTTGCCATGGAAGCTGCAGTGCAGACTAGAAACAACCGTCAGTGGTCTTCTGGCTGATCTCGTTTTCCTCCCAACAGGAGCTTAAAGCTTTGAAGCGCAAGCCTGTACTGAAATGATCCGTGCTGGAGTTTTGTTTCTAAATTCAACCAAAGCGATAACATTACACTTTTGCCTATCAAGAACATGAAGCGTTTCCAGATTTATTTTCATCCCTCAGTCACTCGTGAAGTTTATACTCAAGAGTATTTTTGTTTTTTCTCCCCTCCATTCACCTTGAAAAAGGCCCCTAGCTTAAAGCTGATGTACATAGTTCGGTAAAGCACTGAAGAAACAGATGGTGGACATCTGCATCTCAAAAAAAAAAAAAGTATAATGTTTCTTGAACTGTGTCTGTTCTTTGTAAAACTTCTCCTCTATGCAGCAATGTAAACACTGCTGCTACGATTTCCTTGACAAGAGCAAACCCGTCCCCCTCCATCAACAACACACACTCGCAGGCAACAGTGTAGGATACCATCAACTGTATTCTCCCAAACTATTTGGGGAGGAGATTTAGACATCTAGCCAGTCTGACAGCTGTTTATTGCAGGGAAAAGGTCACGACATGTGAGCACTCATGCCTCAACAGTCAAATGTTAGTGATCTCGGGCACTGCCATGGGAACTGCTATTGTGTTCTTTCAAGATAAGAGAGAAATGAGAGACAAGATAAAGAAGTACCTGACACTGATATAGTACTTTCTTGTAAGGATTACCAGGAAATACATTTATTCAGTGAGTTAGGGTAAGGGATCAATGTATGAGTGGCAGAAAATTTCAGGACAGAGTTGGCAATTCCACTGATTTAATACAAGAGCAGAGGGATAAATAAGGAAAGGAGGACGCAGCACTGCAAGACTTGTCATAGCCAATCAGAATTTACGACTCGTTTTGTTTTCATTGCTGCACTATTTGTCCTTCATGATCTTATTTTACTCTCCTGATCTTGCCCCTCCCTTTGTAGCCCCCCCTTAACCACAACTAATTCAGCCCAAGCACACAATTCTCAAACCACACAGACAAGTCTAAGGTGCATGTACATGAAATATTCTGTATGAGCAAAAAAACCTCTCCACTGAGCTGATCCTGTCATTTGGCTGGAGGTTAAACCTTTAAGAGGCTTTGTGTTTTTATCATTCAAGACACAAGAACAACATTATCCGAACACGAGTCTGAATCTGGAAGGAGATCACCCAAACTGAAGAAGGCAGGAAGACATCTGAAGGTGAAGAGTGATGCAGGAACATCAGACCAGTCTGTAAACTTCAAAACAAAAACGCTCTTCACTTCCAGAGTTCTCATGACATGCCTGCAAAATATCTTTTTTTTTATTTATTTTGTTTTCCTGAAGCTGCCCATTCATCACGGGTGTGTCAGGTGGCAGGCAGATGAAGAAAACAAAAAGATGAGCGAGGAGAGAGAGCTTGGCTTCTCACCAAAGGCAAAACAAAAAGGGGGAAATCGTATCATTTCTCCAGTGGTTGTATCCTCTTGATGCTCTTTGTAAATCCCATGACTGAGATTCAGTGTTCCCTTTTTTACCCCAAAATACAAATTTCAATCATTGCAACATTGCTGTTGCTGAGTGGAGGTACTTTTAGCTCATTCCACCATAAAAGCTCAGTGCTGGGGTCTTGGATGGGCTCCGCTAGTTAGCACATTTCCACCCGTCTTAGATCTCATTGTCTCTAGGTGATTGTTTATAAGGGTTTTCCAAGAGGTAGCGATACCTGTTATAGTGCTCCAGCATGTATTTTGGGGCATACATATGCTCTTTGGGGTCCGCTGATGGATACTCCTGTACAGAGCCATCAAACCAGCCCCCTGTCCGGATCAGCTGTCGAATATAGTTGAGGTCACGCTTGTCCTCATAATCACCCCACCGAGGGAAGTCTCCATTTTGCGCCGATATCAGCTTGAAGAAAATCCCCTCAGGTGTGAAACACCAGGAACAGTGCCACCCGGCATAGTGGAAGGGGCTCCCCACTGACCACTGCACCAGGATGTGGCCAGTGCTATTCTCGTATTTTCGGAAACCGGGCATGGTGTAATATTCCCGACGTCGCAGCTTGATGCCATCGTTATCGTAGACACTTTGGAGCATCCCCAGCGTGCAGCCAGATATCACCTCTAGAGACCCAAATTGCTTCCAGAAAAAGCCGTACAATGACTGGATGTGGAGAGAAAAAGATGTAAATTACAACCAGCTTATGTTTTGGGAAAGATAATACATGGGTTTAAATATTTAACCATAAGAGACAAAAAATGCAGAAAGCTACTCAAGTAAAAACACAAACATTTTTTAATGCATCATGCACTGCTCCATGTTTGTACCTTGCGCATGTGTATAGCGAAAGGTTCTGTCCAGCCATCGAACAACTTGAGGAAAAGGAGGCCCTCTTGTGCAGGGATTTCATCTGCATCGTTGATGATGAAGACATCGTCAGGCCTTGCCCCCCTCACCCTGGACATGCCGTTACGTGTCAAGAAGGTTCGCAGATAGTCATCGGCGATCCAGCCATCTTGCCGACCACCATCCGGGAAGTGGTTAAGGAACACGTACAGGATCTTGTGACGTACGTAATCGTACGTACCATTAAGAAGAAGGTGCAGAAAACTAGGGAACAAATAATAATGTAAAATATAAATTGTAATAAAAATTACAAGTTGTAATGTAAAATGTTGCCATTTTCTTTAAAGTGGTTTACTTCTGTTACCACACAGACAACAAATGTGTTAAGTGTTTTAAGAAAGTTTTTTGCCATGGTAAAATTGCCACTTGGTGATTCTGTAAACCTACCCTATAATTTAGGGTAAGCTGGTAAGTGGTGTTTGTTTTTCCAACCCTAACTAGTAAAGGGTAGCAAACTGATTTACATATTTTGTTTGTTTGTGCAGTAAAGTAAGAAAAACACTGAGGTCACAAATTTAAAAAGGGCATGTGCTAAACACCACATTTATGGCCAAGGCTGACATTCTGGGACTGAAGTAAAACAAAACATTAGTGAATTCAATTTCTCATAACTTCAACTTTTTCTTTGATCCTCATTTGAAAATATTCACATTTGTCGGATTTATAAAGTCCGAATATTATTTTCTGATGTTAAACAGAAACTATAAAAACAACTTTTGAACCTATATTCGAATGTTACAAAATGGAAACCAGCATCTCCTAGAAAAGAATATGGAAAGTCCAAACAGCAGACATTTATGTAAGAAACCATCAAGCTGCAGAAGACGCAAGTCAAGTTGACAAATGACACATTTCAGCACAGAAACCCACTGTTCATGCACCACTTTTACTGAATGAACAGCTCAATCAACCTGTTCATATGCACAAGTAAAGAAGATGGCCACTGAATGTAGCGGCTTTCATGCTGTGTCACATCCTGTGATCGAACACACCAATCTTTTCCATCAAGGCTGCACGCAGAGTCAATCGTGTTGTTTGTCAAAATTTTCAGTAAAATTGCTTTCAAGGCATTTCATGTTGTCAAAAGAACCTGATTACAGTTGTTACTCAGAACACTGATTCTGAAGAGGCATGAAGCCGGCTGCAAACAAAGAATATAAGCAGTGAATAAGTGTTTAAAGCAACAGCAGGGGTAATTATGCCTCATTTTCTATGCCTGAATTAGAAAATAAAGCTTTAACTGGGCTTCTTGGGTGTATGAGCGCAACACATTAAAACTGGATGCAACACGCAAACACTTATTCAGTGCATTGTGTGCAGTGAAATGTTTGCTTTTAAACTAAAAGCGACGCTACATCCGTTTGAATCTTGCTTCAGCAGATTTTAGATTATTCAATATTCATTTCTAAGCTGTATTATTTTTGATTAAAACACCAGTGACACCAACAACCAAGTCCTCAGCTCTGCAAGAAAACTCCTATAAATCAAGAAAAGTGAAGGGCGTCCTGATAATCCTTAATTTCACTAGTTATTAAAAAGATCACAAAACACTGTATTGGTGATAAAGATACTCTCATTTCAGCAGTGAACCAACTTAAACTTTACGGAGCATGTATTCATTCTCTAATGGCATTCTCTCATAAAAGATAGCCAGCTATCAGCTAAGGAATGTTAATGCATCCAAAAACAAGTGGGTATGTTTTATTTTACACACATGCACGCAAAGCCCTTAAAAACCGAAAAACCTTGAAAAATAAAATTCCATACCTTAATGGTCGTTTCTCTCCATAGGCAGTAAAGTTCGATTCGCACACAATAAATAAATCTACGGCCTGTGCAAGCTCCCGAAAGCGTACGTGCAACAGGTCAAACTCGTGATTGACGTTGATGGCATTGATCACCCTCCGTGGGGCCTCTCTGGGTGTCAGCCGCTCCTTGGTTGGCAGGTTGGAGTGGTACACCATTGTGGGCACCCCACAGTAAGGTCCATGCCATCCGGGCCGACATACACATTTGACCAGCCTCTTTCCACTGTGCTTGGATCGCCCTTTAGCCTTTGGGGCCACGGAAGGCTGTTGCTGAAGCTCCAGAGGTTTCCGTTGCACGGCTTGACCCACTTTTTCAACTTCATTAGCTCCAGCCTCTCCTATTTTTACAGAGTACTCCTTGGGGGTAGCCACCTCTGTTCCCTGTTTGAAACAAAAGGCTCCATTTTTTGTATGAACAAAATAAAGTGTTTTGTCATCTTTGAGTTCATGAATACGAGTATGAAGGTCCCCCATTGATTTTACAGAGTCCAATGTTTTATCCCTGTGTTCTTTTCCTCTTATTGGTGCTTCTGGGAGTTTTGGCCCAATAGGCAGAGCATGACGGTCATCATTTTGTCTCTGGAGAAAGACAAAAGTAGAAAAGAATTTGAAAATTTTCAATAAGTTTATGTCTAATAAATGCACAGCTTTGAAACCTCTAAAAAAGTTAAATCTGGTCCTCTGGACATTCAAAAAAACAAAACAAAGCAAAACAACAACAAAAAAAAGTAGAAACGTTTCATCTCTCATCCGAGAGACTTCCTCAGTCTGAGGTGCTGTATTCAGCTCAGTCTCTTAAATAGCACCTTCTCAGAGTGGATCACCCAGGACTGAGGTCTCAGTCTCTGATAGAGGACATTTGCAAACTGAGGTGTACCGCAAACCCACCCACACAGACCAGTATTTGCAGTTTGACTCCCATCACCCTTTGGAGCACAAGTTAGGAGTCATCAGGACTCTGTATCACAGAGCAGACAGCGTCCCCACTCGCTCAGGAGCCAGGCAGAAGGAGAAATCCCACACAAGACAGGCTCTAGAGCAATGTGGATATGCTAACTGGGCCTTCCTGAAAGCAGAGAAGAAACCCAAACAGGACTCCAGTCAGCCAACAGGTGAAAAGGAGGAACCCAGACCAGTGGTCATTCCATATGTTGAGGGAGTATCAGAGAAACTGAGACGTTTATTTTCTAAACACAACGTCCCAGTGGCTTTTAAACCCCAAAATACATTACAGCAAAGACTGGTTCATCCCAAAGATCCAGTCCCCCGGCACAAACAGAGTAATGTTGTGTATGCTGTTCAGTGTCAGGAGGGCTGTGATCAGTCTTACATTGGGGAAACTAAACAGCCACTGGCCAAAAGGATGGCCCAGCACAGAAGATCAACATCATCAGGCCAGGACTCTGCGGTCTACACTCATCTCCAGGCCAGCGGTCACAAGGATGAAGATGTTCACATCCTGGATAGAGAGGAACGATGGTTTGAGAGAGGAGTAAAGGAGGCCATCTTTGTGAAAAGAAATCGGCCATCGTTAAACAGGGGTGGAGGCCTACGTGTTCAATTGTCCCCCTCTTACAATGCTGTGATTGCTAGTATCACTCAGCCCTCTGTGAACAGTAAACAGCCATAAGTGTGCTAATGATCCATTGTTTGGCTGATGGTCCATCTTAAACATGTGATCAGCTGGTTTTGGTTGTCAGCAGCAAAACTGGTTGATCCACTCTGAGACGGTGCTATTTAAGAGACTGAGCTGAATACAGCACCTCAGACTGAGGAAGTCTCTCAGATGAGACGAAACGTTTCTACATTTTTGTTGTTGTTTTGCTTTGTTTTGTTTTTTTGAATGTCTAGAGGACCAGATTTAACTTTTTTAGATTTTTCTACCTGGATTATTGAGCATGCATCAGGATACAGCTTTGAAACATTTGTGTTAAATTATTTCAAATGTGTACCATCATATGGGTTGTGATTCATCAACATTAATTGTGTACATGTGGGTTAATTGGGGTGGTGGTGGTGGGGGGGTGTAATCTACTCAACATTCACTGTTATCAAACATATTGGCATTGACAAAAAAGGACCCCTTGTACAATCACAAGGCCAATCACCAACTAATGAGTTGTGATATATTGGCATTTCTATATTGTGATATATTGCAATATATTGGCATTTCTTTATTGTGATATATTGCAATACATTGGCATATATTGGCCAATCACCAACTAATGGGTTGTGATATATTGGCATTAACTGTGTACATGTGGGTTAATTTGGGGAGGGGGATTAATCTAGTCAACATTCACTGCGATCAAACAAATTGGCATTGTCAAAAAGGACCCCTTGTACCATCACAATTTTAAACATATATTTTAAACATGCATTTTAAAATGATATCACTTTGTAACCATTTCTTAAAATTACAGTTAAACACATTTTTAAATAATTTAAGGATGTTCTGTCTTCTGAAAGTTGCTTTAAAACCCCGTGGTGATTGTTGCATCTCAACAGCAACTTCCAAAGACAACGACACAAGTTGTGAAAAGAATAAAGAATCTATTTTAGTCAGGGCAATAATGTCTCTGTGATAGTTCTAACTTTGACAATTTGTTCTTGTAGCCAGGCAACAACCAAGCTGTGTGTAGTTTCAGCATTTATCCAAATACAAAACACTTGCACTCTCCTGGATAATGAAACGAAACAAACCTCTTAGATAACAGTTAAATGTCTGAGGTCCAGCAACGCCTTTAGACAAAAAATACATTAAAAAAATTCTGTATACCATATTCAGATATCAGTTTAGAACAAAAGTTAAATTACTATTGAATGTACATACTCTTCATTCTTGCTTTGCTCCTGCCAGCATTGAGATTTTCCAGTGTTAACTGGCAAAGATTTCACGTTTACCATAAGAGTTGAGGAAATGAATTGGTAAAACATCCTCCTTCCTTTTCAATCCACAGAGTTAATTTCCCTTTTATTCCCCAACTATTTGAATATGAGGTCTCATTTGATTAGTTCATTCTTTCATTCAACCTTTATTTATACAGGCTAGCCTGGACTAAGCTGTGCCTGCACATAACAGAATTCAAATCTGTTCTAGTAAAAAATGTTAAGAGAAAATAAATTGTAAAAATTGTGAAGGGCAGTATTGTCAATGTCAAATTATTTCTATAGCACATAAAAACAGCAAATCCTGGCCACAGTGCTTTACAGTTAAGACACATTAAAGAGTAAAAAATACATCTTGTTCCACAAAAAAAAAAACAATGTTAAAATATTCTTTGTGTTAAAAACAAGTTGTTGTTTTTTCCCTCAAGAAGGAACTTTATAAGAAATCTCAAGGAGATAGCAGAAGCAAATATTCTGGGACACTGGCACAAGTAGCAGAACTCACAAGCACTTTAGTTGATAAAAAACAAACAAACAAAAAAAAACATACCTGTATATGGAAAACAATCTGCACGTTTTTTATAAGAAACACACCACACACACACACCAATGCTAGTGCAGTCAATAGTTAATGTTCTGCCAACAAATAGCATGTTACATTAATTTGTAACAGATTTCTTCTTAAAAAAAAAAAAAAAGTCTAAACTAATTTAATTCACATTTTGAAGAAAATAAATCAACCATAGTAAGTTTCTCACAATTAATAAGTGGCCTATTGGTAGGCTATGATTGCAGCCATTTACATGTTGGATACATTTTCTTGTTTCATTTTCTAAGGCAAGCAATAGTGCTATGAACAACTAGATATCTTACCTCTATTGGTAGGTCTCCAATCTCATTTTCAACTTTATTTTCCCAGTGCTGGGCATGAGCGCCAGGTCTTTCAATCAGGACACGTTCAACGTCCAGGTCTCGCCCTCCACCTCCTAAAGGACCCGACCCTCCTCCAAATTTGGGGTCCAAATGACGGAGAACAGGTGCCTCTTCAGGAGAGGCCGGACTGAGCGGAGTGGCAGCCAGGCCCTTCTCTTTCCAGAAGAATCCAGAGACCATGATGAAGGACTTTATGTTGGGATATGGAGCCGAGAGCTCACGCAGCAGGGAGACGTAATGGAGGGCCTTGTAGTAGTGGAGGAAGGAGATGACGCACAGACCCACCGTGCACAGCAAGAACACTCGGTGCCGTCGCATTTTCATCCTGAAATATAAAGCATTTGTTTTAAAATGACATCTGGAAATCAACCATTAACTTTTTCAATATATTTTAAACAACATTGCAATTAATGAAAATTATAACAGCCAGGAAGGGTTAAAAGAACAAAGACAGCAACTTTGCCAGTGACCTAGCATTGCACCACATGATTCTAAAGTAGCTTGTTCAGCACTCAGCGCCCCCCACCCCACTAACAGTACATGAAACAAGTGAGACACGGGGTGTAGACTGCTAGGAGGAGCAATGGCTGAGGTTTGAATAAGAGCAAATGTCAGGACAGAAATATGGAGGGAAAGGATGGTCTTAAGTTTATAAAATTATTTAGAGTCACCTCCGCAAAAATTCCACATTAGTCATGGTCGAGTCAGGTCAGGTCAAATTCAAAGCTATTTCAATTCTATCCCACTCTCAAGTCTAAATTCTGAAGTTAGACCATTTTCAAAGATCCGGCCAAGAGTTTTTCATAAAAGCAGCAGCATATGAGAACAAAAGAGCTTCACTGAAGAGCTCCTCATTTCTTGTAGCCAACTGTCAAACGATTGTACTTGCCATTTTCTACCTCAAATGACAGCATGCACCAAATTGACATGACAGTGCCCATGGGAGACGGGAGCTTTTGCATAATTTTGACTAGTTGTGCAATTCTGTATTTATTTTGTTTTACTTGGTGGTGAAGTAAAATGAGAACAGTAAATACATATCTGGAAGTTTGTTTCAAACCAAATTTGAACAAACCTTAAAATCTTAGCTTTTTTTTTTTACAAATAAATACATCTTAAAAATAAAGCAGAATAATTGCAAAATAAATGTTTGTGCATAAATAACATTCCTGTGTGGCTTCTTTTATGACTATTTTTGCTGTGTTGTGGCAACATTTCTTTGGTGGCGACACCTACTGTTGAGGCAGAGAACTGCAGTGATTGTAGTGCATCTCAAACAACACAATTAGCAGCTGGTCCTTGTTGACGTCACAAGTCACTGTTCTAATTTAAGTACAACCAAGTTTAGGATGTCAAAACAAAATCAGAAAGTTCACTCAAGTGAAGAGTCATTTCTTTTCTAGTGACCTGTCCGCTCAGTGACACAGAGGATGTAGAAAATTTGGATCTGAATTTGACACTTAAACATTAAATTGCCATTTTGAATTTTAATTTTTGTACCATATTCTACTGGTCTGTGCACATATGCTATTGCTTAGCTTGGCTAGTAACAAGGGTGCATCTCCCACATTACAAACCATTAAAAATAATGCCACTAAGAAAATTCTAAGCCGAGTGATCGTTACAAGAAAATCCTGTTGCATGATGGCTAACGTGCGCATTCTGCTGGTGTGTGGGGCATGTATAAAACTCCTTCAAATTATTATTATTATTACCCCCCCTCCATCGGTTCACAGGGGTATTCCCCTCTGTATTTTTAAGGTGACATAGCCAGGAAGTAACTCTTTCACCATGATTTTGTTTGGATGGATTCAGCCACACACACCCTCCCCCATTCAGTTCATGGGTGATGAAAATGTTTAATTCAACAAACTTACACATGTTCACATTCACAGCACTCACTGAAATATATATTTTATCTAAATACTGATTGACTTTCATGACAATCTGATATAGAGAACATAGTTTTTGAGACCCCGAACGTGAAGATGCATGGCAGATGAAAAACAATGAAATAAGTTTCTTTTTGATCCCATGTTCATCCCCCCCCCCCCCTCCCCAATCTAGTTCAATTATTGTTTATTTTGTTCCCATAAAAGTCCAGATTATACAGTTTAGAATTCTTAAAAGATAAATTAATTAATTAATAATGACTACATGCTAGTAGCCGATGTAAAGAACATGTGCTGGTAATTTCCCACTTCTGAAAATTTCATCCAGTGAGGAAGTTATGTTAGTTTGTTGTTGGTTGCAGAGCGATCACAACTTTGATTTTTCCAGGTTAAACCAAAAAAGAAATTTTTCTAGACTGAAAGTGCCATCATCTTCTTCTGGCTGCTCCTTTCTTCAGGGGTCACCACAGTGAACTAACTCACACGAAGACTTGGCAATTGTTTTTACACCGGATGTCCTTCCTGACGCAACCACAGACCACCGAGCTACCACAGCCCTCTGTGTGGAGCAGAGAGCTGCCATCTAGGGCAACTTGGGGAGAAGACGGTGGGGTTAAGGGCCTTGCTCAAGGGCCCAGAGTGGGGCAAATGAGGGTGGTGGTAAGTGTGGGTGCTTCACCTTTCCCAACCACATATTCCGGTGGTCGAACCAGAGACCTTCGGATCACAGGCTCGCCTTATCCTCTGCGCCACCACTCCCTAGACTAAAATTTTTGGATTGGTAAGAAATAAGGAAGTTATGGCTAGACTAAAATTGCCATGGTTTCTTCACCAATCCAGACAATCTTGGTGTCAATCTTTGTATTATCAAGCTCTACCCATTGCATATAGAAAAAATACGTAGACTCTTGATTTTCAGAAAACATTGTTAAAAAAGCAGCTATATTGTTTGAAATAATCTTCCCACGTCTAGCTGGTAAAAAAAAAATTTATAAAATAAAAAGTGCCGTTCATAGATCAGATGAGACTTAAATCAGTGATGTTTAAACACACATCGTCCTAGAACACCGACTGTTAAAACGCACCGCAAAAGTCCGCTCCTCATCCAACCTGAAGGTCATTTTCAACGCTGTACTCAGAAGCAGTGATTCTAATACTATCAGAACAATAAAACATCAGCAGAAGAGAGCACACCTTTGAAAATATACAAAGCATTTCTTTAAGCAGCAGGAAACGCAGAACAGCACAAAGTCTGGTGTGGTAACACCGTCACAACCCACACCACAGATGTCAACAGTAGCTGAAAGCACAGATGTCTGTCTGTGCCACAGCAAAACAAACAAAGTGAAACTATTTCTGCTACGGAAGCTCATCCAATATATTCTCGAGATTGCCGACACACTCTTGTTTGCTCGTCTTTTATTCACTCTTATGTGAAATAGATTAGTTTTTGTCACTTTCAGTCTGCCTTGCTGTGGGAATGTTGCTACATTATTTTATGAATGCCTGCCATTACTAAAACCAGCACTCCATGTGGCCCATTTTTCAATTTGTTCATTCTCTCTAATAAAACAAACGTAAATCAATTTAATTTGAAACAAAATCATCAGTAAGTGAATGATATGATTAAATGCATCTGTGACCGCTTTACAGAATGTGGCTGTATTAACCATTAACTGGTAAAAGTGGTTAGGTTGCATTAGTTAAAGATGACCCACATGCAATTCAGACCACTACTGCATGTCACATGGGTATGTTAATATAAAAACTGGCTTGGCAAATGACAATTAAAAAAAAGACTAAATAAGAAGTGGGTGTATGCAGACGAATTTACATCTAAATCCAGATTTGTACAATAAAAAACAATTTTATATTTAGTTACCAACCTGGCTCATGTTAGTCACAAACAGGAAAAGTGCACACATTAGTTTCTTGGTATAGGTGTAGTGCAGTGCATGGATGGTCTAAAATATATATATATTTAAAAAAAAAAACACCTGAGGAGGCAAAAACCACATGCACCCTGCAGCCCAGAGAAACCTGCAGAAACTGGGTTTTAAATTTTTTTTAGCCACGCCCACCTCTAAGGTGCAACCAGATCTTTAACGAAGCTGACAAACCTTTTGTTGGAGAATTAGGGGGCTGAACGGAAACAATAAGCGCTCATCAAAAACACAACAGTGATATAAAAAGTTTTGCTTGTTGTGGTTTTTTATAAGAAAATCACCTGATGAGGTCTTTGACAAATGGCATGATCTGCGCTAAGTTTAGCCTGATTTCTAAAGAAGCAAGTCACGAGTGACCAACTTCAGGAGATGTTTACACTTTTTGACGTGAACTTTTTCCTCAAGCTCTAAGTAATCCATGAAAATCTGTATGAAAATGAGCATTTAAATAAAAAAAATATATATTATATAACTGGAAACATTGTTGTAAATAAGATTCACAATTTTGGGGAATGTATCATTTGATCACATTTAAGGTTAAGGTTTTAACATGTGCTCATGACTCTCTTCTTTACAACACCTTCTTATGCTTGAATACGTGAGGAAATAAATCCTATTTAAAAGTGTATTTAATTTAACATTTTCATTTACGGCTGAAAAAGTTTTTCAAATGGAAAGATTAGAAAAACAAAAGGCAAAGAGAGGAATGCCAAATGGATACAGCCCATCACCAGTTCATATACAAAAAGCACTTACGAACGGAGTAGCCGCCGGCATTTTGTGCGTGTTTTCTGCAGGCCTAGGGAGGACATGGCCCCTCTAAGCCAAGACATGACTGTCCAAATGAATCCAATGTGCTCATGCCAGCAGTCGCTGTCACACTGTTGTTGCAACCTTCCTCTCACCTGCGTTGCTGCCTGTCAGATAATGCACAGGGTGGAGTTTTACAAGTCAGTCTGCAAACCTGGAGCAAATTTAAAAACAGATTACCCGCTGATAAAGCTCCGTTTATTTTTTGCTGGTGGACATATTTGTGTTTAAACGGCTGGCTTGTTGTTCGTCATAATAGCTGAAAAAAATATATAGGTTAAACACATATGTTTCTGGCTTGTATGCAGTTTCAAACCTGGCTGTGAATTAAAGTGTTAACCACGGTTCAGGTGGTTTTTGCAGGGCAGCACATATAAAGTGGAGAGTGGAATGTGTTGAATTGAAGGAAGAGGAAGAGTTCTCGAGTGTTTGCATTCTGCTACAGTTCCTATATTTGCACAACTGAAAGCTTTTATTCCAGGGCTGTTTGATGTCGAGCTGGTGTCTGCTCTCTTCTGCAACAGTGTTTGGTCCTCTGGTCAGATTTCATCTATCCAGCAGAAGTCTACCTCTGAACCGCACATACACCCCCCCTCCCCGGAAAGTTTGGAACAGCCTCGACGGCTGGCTGACAAACACAACCCAAACATTTGGTTTACACACTTGGGAGAGCAATC